ACTGAAATCCCTATAACTCTTGTCAAAATTAAGCTGGAAAGCTAGAAAAAGATTTTGATTTTTCAAAAAATCAATTTTCAAAAATTTTCAGTCTCGGCAAAGATCCGCACACTGTCGGAATTCCAAATCAGATTATCCACAAATCAGCAGCCACCGTCGAACGCTGAAATCATCACGACGCTCAGATACTTTCAACAGACACTTATCGGGTAGGTCAAAGACTTTTGCTCGAGCTGGAATTTCAAAAGTTTTATGTTCTCTATTCTTTATGCGGAATTTTATGGCAACCAGATGTTGGATGTGCTCTCAAATTTCATATTCGAAAATCCATAAAAACGAGGAGAAGCCTCATCCAAAAAAAATAGGGACAATTCTTTTTGGGTCCCCATTCAGGAAATGTGAATGACTACTTGGGACCAAGTATTTTGTACTAACATTCCAAAAAAATGGTACTTAAGATTTTTAATAGTGATCGTAGGGAGAAAAAAAACGGGCGAAAAAAATTCTCAAAATGTGAATTTCAAATTTTTAAAAGATCATAACTTTTTTCAAATTTGGGATAGAACATTGACTCATATTTCATTTTGTAGCACATTTTATTGGTTCTAAGAAAATAATAAATTGAAATCATGAAAATTGTACAGTGATTCATTACGAAGCTAAACGGATACCGTATTTGATCTGATACTCTACCCACCTTATAATCTCAAAGTACACACTTTGAGCTCAATAATCTCGGTTGCTTTAAAAATACAAAAAAGTTTTAACTGATAAATCATTTATCCGGATATCAGCAATATTTTATCAGTTTGCAAAATTTTGATATCTTTCACAAGAACCAAGATAAATGAGCTCAAAGTGTTTGTACAGAGCTTTAAGGCAAAAAATTCGGAGGGTACAATGATTCGGGGGTACAAGGGGTGTACAACTGATTTAGGGGTACAAAATTGGTGGAACTTCAGAATCTGAGAATCTAAGAATTCCCGAATTTCAGAACTTCGAAATCTCAGAATTTCAGAACTTCGAAATCTCAGAATTTCAGAACTTCGAAATCTCAGAATTTCAGAACTTTGGAATTGTAGAATTCGCAATCTGAGAATTCCGTAACTTCAGAATCTGAGAATCAGAGAATTTCGGATCTTCAGAATCTGAGAATGCTAAAACTTCAAAATCTCAGAACTTCGGAATTTCAAAACTTCAGGACTTCAGAATCTCAATATTTCAAGAAAGACAATGGAGAACTGTGAAATGATTTTAAAAAATTTTACAAACGGATTTTAATGCCAGTCGATACTTTCCTCACTTCCAATTTTTATTCCTTCGTTTTTTCCCAATTTTCCGTTTTTCCCAATTTTTCTTAATTTTCCTCAATTTTCGCGATAATTCAAATTTTTCTCATTTTTAAATGATTTTCTAGATCCTTGATTGAAGGAAACAATCACAATTCAGTGATTTTCCCACAAAATTTCAAACATCCCAAAAATTGGCCCAAAATGAGCTATTTTCTTTCGAAAATCGTTCGAACAGGCATAAAACATTACAAAAACTTTAAAATTGATTTTTTTTCGATAAATTGCCACAAAAATGTGAGCAAAAATGATGAAAAACGAAGGAAAACGGAGAAAAATGGGAATTGCGAAAAGACTAAATTTCGCGAAACTTTTCCCATGGAAGAGAAAACCCCGCAGCTCGGCCACGGCCATGGCTGATGACGTCATCGCTCGCAAATGTTATTTTTTGGATTTTCTTCGTTTTTCATCATTTTTGCTCAAATTTTCGTGGTAATTGATCGAAAAAAATTAATTCACAATTTTTGAAATGTTTTATGGCCTGTTCGAACAATTTTCGATAGAAAATAACTCACTTTGGGTGAATTTTTGGGATTTTCGAATTTTGTGGGAAATAGCTAAATTGTGATTGTTTCCTTCAATCAATGATATAGAAAATTGTTTACAAAGGAGAAAAATTTGAATTACCGCGAAAATTGAGGAAAATTGAGAAAAATTGGAAAAAAGACGAAGGAATATTGAGAAACAAAGGGAATTGAAATAGAATTGAAAAAACAAGGAAATGAGAAAAATTGGCATTGAGAAAAGTATCGGCTGGGTTTTGAACTTAAATTAAGCATTAAAAACTGAGTTTGTAAAATTTGTCAAGTTTAGCTTATTGTCAAAAAGAACAATGTGACAATGAGAAGTGAAAATTTTCTGTCGTTCGAAATTCTCAGATACCGATATACTGAAGTTCCAAAGTTCTGAAATACTGAGATTCTGAAGTTCCGAAGTTCTCAGATTCCGAATTCTGGAATTCTAAGAATTCTGAAGACAATGAAGAAAATTTCTGCCGTAATTATTGAAAATTCAGAAATATTGACATTCTGAAGTTCTGAAATTCTGAGATTCTCAGATTCTGAAGTTCCGAAATTTTCAGATTCCTAAATACTAAAATTCCAAAGTTCTGAAATTCCAAAAATTTAGAGATTTTCAAGCTCTGAAATTCAGGAATTCAGAAACTCCCTCAAAAAAAATTGTACCCCGGATCACAAACGTTGTACCCCTAAATGAAATAAGTTGTACCCCAGAATCATTGATAGTTTGTACCCCCGAATCGTTGTACTCCCGAATTTTTGTACCCACGAATTTTGTACCCCCGAATCACCAATTTTGTACCTCTAAATCAGTTGTACCCCCTTGTACCCCCGAATCATTGTACCCCCCGAATTTTTGGCCGAGCTTTAAAGCAAATACAGTAGTCAAATATCCAACGATCATAACTTGATTCTAATTGTACCTAGGGAAATGATTTTTATGACACAGGGAATTTCCAGAGCTTCAAAATAATATAAATAATACAAAATCCCGATAATCGTCTACCATAGAACACGATTTGGGCTCACTCGAAGTTTCACTTTATTGGTCGCACAGCTGGCGCCACCATAGCTGTCAGCTGGAGGCTACTCGAACTTTGAGCTTCATATTTCCAGTTTCTGTAAACAATATCAAAAATTGATCAACAAATAAAATGTTAATCATATTATCATCAACATTTTATCAGTTGACAGATTTCTGATATCTCTTATAGGAACCGAGATAATGAAGCTCTTTCGACTACATCGTTTTTGCTTCTTCCTCAAAACAAAGAAGTAGCAAAATACACAAAATTTTCTTTAACCTTTCACCGAGTGTTTCTTCACATCTGCGTCTCTCACCCATCACACACTATTTTCGCATTGTTTTGGTGCCAATTCAGAGTGAATTGGTAGTAGAAAGCGGGCGTAATTGAAGAGTAATTTCTCGCGATCGAAAACTTAATTAACTTTTTAGGTTTTTGGCCTTTCCACCACTACTTGAATTCTGAGTTTCTTCTTGCTCTTCTTTTTAGTAGTTTTGTCTCTTTTGGCTCTAAGATGCTTGCTTCGTCGTTGCGTTTTCATGCGCCAATTTGAATTTTGAATTGGGCAACCGGAACAAGCGCTCTTCCTTTTTTAGAGCTTGCTTTTTTCATGCTCTTGGACCAAGAATTTCTTATTTTGGAAGAAGAAAAAGCATCTTTGGGGTCTCTGTGATCACAAATTTGGAACTAAAAATTCAAGAAACAAATGGGAAAGTGGAAAGAAACTGTGCTTTGGAAAACGATTGAGAAAAGCGTTGGAAATACTACCGTGCCCCATTATAGCCTGAAGAAATTTTGATACAATTTAAATTTAGAAACTTGCCAAATCTCGAGCTTCAAAACGAGCCCAAACACGACCTATTTCGGTCAACTTTGAATTTTGGACTTTAATGGCGCATGGAACCTCGAAAAATCGAAATCGAGCCAAAACAGACAGAGCGTCTTTATTCATTTTGAAGCTGTTAATTTAGTGATTGTGAATGTGCAAAAATTTTCAAGATAAGTAGGAAAATGAAAAAACTATGCAAGAAAGGGGGGGCACCCCCTTTTTTAGCATGGGTTTTCAGTTAGGAAACCTTGGACCTCATTTATCTCTGTTCCTGTAGAAGATATCGAGAAGTTGTTAACTGACAAAATGTTCATCATAATATCAGCAAAATTTTGTTAATTGACTACTTTTTGATATCTTTCACAGGGTCCGAGATAAGGTGGCACGAAGTTAGCGGTTAAAAGGGGGGGGGGTGCCATATTGCAAGTTTTCCGGTTTCCCTAATTTATCTCGGTTACTGTAAGAGATATTAAACTTAAACTAATTAAAAAATATTTGTTGCTTTATGGTGAACATTTTATTAGTTTATCACTTTCTGCTATCTATCACAGGGACCGAGATAAGCTGGCTCGAAGTTGACGGTTAAAGGAGGGTGGGGGTCAAATTGAACGTTTTCCGGTGGCTCCTTTTGACCTTATCCATCTTGGTTGCTCTAACAGATATTGAAAAGTGGTCAACTGATAAACTGTTTATCATAATATCAGTAACATTTTGTTAGTTGATCACTTTTTGTTATTTTTCACAGGAACCGAGAAAAATACGGTCAAAGTTAGATTATGGAGGCGAAGAGGTCATATTGCAGAGTTTACGGTATTCTCCTTTTCTGCGTCTCTACCACAAAAACTAACGTAGCTACAAAATTTGTGTCGATTAACAAAATAATTCTTATAAAATTTTACGCATTTTGTTAGTTGAAATCTTCTTGATAGCTTAGCTGGTTCTTGAGTTAAAACCGGGGAAAGTCTAGGAAACGAACTTTCCAGAGAGAATCAGAAAAAGAGCAGATCTCCATTTTTTCTAGTAAATAAAATAATGACGTTGTTCCTTTTCTGCAAAACCAAAAAAAGGAGCGAACCCTTTCGTTTTGTAATTAACTGGAAATTAATCCCCGTCGTTTTCTCTTCTTTTTCGTTCCGTTTCTAGATAGAAAAAGTAGATAAGAGAAAAACGAAAAACCAGGGGGTTTAGAAAATGACCGAGCAAGATGAATCGATGGGATTATGAACTGGAAACTATACTTTTTTAGAGAAAACATCCCTCTATAAATCTGTGTATCCAGATGTCGTCTTTTTTCAGGTTCCTCAAAGATTTTCCTGCCACACAGACCAACTACTGTGAGAAGTTTTCATCGGACGCCGCACGATGGAACTTGTACCCAAACCTCAATTATTCAGCTTTATACTATGCCATAGTCAATCTTCTAGACGTTTTTCCGTTAATTACCATTCAGCCACAAGGTTTGTCTATCTGGGTGTCTCTCAATCCTGATGTCCGTGATTTTCAGCAATAGGAGAAGCAATTCTAGACACAATAAAAGCACTGATGATTTTTCTGGAAAGAGACTCACTGGAACAACTTCCACTCTTGTTGGCAAGTCAACTTGGTGTCTTTCCCAGAGAGTTAGATAAGCAGGTATGAGAAAGATTACTGTAGCCAAAAACAAAAGTAGAAATTTCCAGATTGTTCACCTCCTAGCTGATTGTGTTTTCCCTTTTGCCATCAACGAGGAGACATATGTGAAGCTAAGCGTGCCTGGAGTACTAATGCTAGTTCTACAGCAGACACATGACCCTAGTAAGTTTTTCTTTGAAAATGTTAAAAAAATGTTTTTTGAAAATTTATTAATTAAAAAAAAGCATTTGATTTGCTCTAATGATTCACCAGATACAGTTCTTTAAAGTTCCGGTCTTCAGGCCTCCACACGTGGATCGTCGAAGCGGCCATGAACAGTTCGCAAGGTGTCTATCAGGACCTTCTACAAGTGATTGCAAAAGGGACGTGTGAAAGTAGAGTGGCAGCTGCAAACCTGCTTTTTCACTATTGGCCATTTCCGAATCCACAGATTTTGCATAGGAAAACGATACAGGTTTGTGAAACTTGAATCGTCATGCCTTACTAGAGTTCCGTCTCGCGAGCACTGGCGTTCGACAAGAACGAGAATTCAAATGCTCGCAATTTCTCGTTTCACGTGCAAGACTCGCATGCAAGTCTCGCAATTTGTCTCGCATAATAGAGTACCTGGAAATAGTAACGTTCATAACTTGGAACAAACTTAAAACGTGTGAAAATTTTTGTGAAAAGTACAGTACAGCCACATATGTCCAGAATGACTTTTAAAATACGGAATCCGGAAAAATCGATACATCACGGAATCAAAATGTCAATGTCAGAAATATCAGGAATAACTTTTTTGAGAAACGGAATCCGGAATAAAATTCCGGATTCCGGGATCCAGATTCCAGATTCCGGATTCCGTGAAATTTTTATTTGTCCGGATTCCGGATTATGGATTCCGAGAAAATTGTTTCATTCCGGATTCCGTTTGTCAGAAAAGTTTTTCCTGATATTCTTTATTTTATATTTTATGATATTTCTGACATTGACATTTTGATTCCGTGAAGTATCGATTTTTCTGGATTCCGTTATTTAAAAGTCATTCTGGACATATCTGGCTTTACTGTACTTTTCAAAAAAATTTTCACATGTTTCGGATGAGTTTGTTCCAAGTTATGAACGTTATTATTTCCGGCTACTCTTTTATGCGAGACAAATTGCGAGACTTGCAATCCTCGCATGAAAAATGCGAGTCTCGCACGTGAAACGCGAAATCGCGAGCATTTGCGAGAACGAGACGAGCCAAGCATTTGTGCGAGACGAAACGAGACGACGCAAGACAAGACAAAAGCAAGAAATTGCGAGTTTTGAAAGAAATTTCTCGCGAGACGAAACTCTATGCCTTACCTGCGCTTTGAGCTCAACTATCTTGGTTCCTATGCAATATATCAAAAATCTGTCAACTGATAAAATATTGATGATATTTTGATGAACATTTTATCAGTTGACAACATTTTGATATATCTTGTGAGAACCTAGATAACAGAGCTCCAAATAGACTACAGGAAGTCGCTCTATGCCATCGAGTGGACCGATACCAACTACTTGACAGCTCATAATTTCGCTCAAATTTCAAATATCTTGTTGAATCAAAAAGTGAAATATAGAACTTAATAAGGTCTACACAATAATACATAATACAATCATACTTGAATGCCAAGTTTTCAACCAGCACTCGTGAAACAGCCAGGCCGGAAAAATCGGCCATGGTAGCATTGGTTCATCGGCGGCCTCTGATTTGAAACTTCGCAACCAAATTTAGTCAATTTTAATATCATTTTGTAGATCTCCGCAAGTTCTACATTTTAATATAAAATTCAAACAGAAATTCTAAGTTTGAGCTGAGTTATGGCTTGGTGAACAAGTAGAATGGTTCGGAGCTTGCGCTTCAGTTTGAACCTTGAAGCTTGAACGATTGAATCTCACTGGCACTCTAAAATAAAAATTCGATCGAATTAAAATCTGAACACATCCAAAACTTTCCTAAAACAACCCCTATTGAATTCCAGTACCGCGTACATGCCTGGCGAACGATCCAATGCCAATCTGCCGGTTGCTCAGACAAGTCGCCTAGTGTAAAACGATGCTATGACCCAGTGATATGTGCCGATGTAGCAGACACCTCTCCACCGATTTTTCTCTGTCGAAAATGCGCGGAACAAGTGACTGGAGAGCGAAAAGTCGTCACTCAACACATTGCTCAACCCATGCCAGCATCAAATGCTACGTGTCAAAGGGTAGAATGTCAGTCACAATCCAGACTAGCTGTGACAATATGCTGCTCTCATGAGTGTACCAGAGGACACAATCATGTGCCAATGAGGTTGTGTATGGATTGCAGTACTTTGGTACACGAAGAGGGAACGATAAAACATTTGCAACATCAGGGAAGTGGAGTTGTATGGTCGACTGATGATCAATGGCCGACGGTTGAGAGTATTGTGAAGTTGTTAAGGGAAACGACAATGTTTGAAGGGAGTGAGGGAGAGGGGAAGAAACCGAAATGGTTGAGGCAGTTGGATGGAGGAACGTCCATGGGCAAGGAGGTAAGGATAAGGAAAAAAGCAAATAAAAGCAAAATTCGCTTTTTACAAAAAATTTAATTTCAGAATTTTCGATAATTTTCTTGAAATTTTAGAAATTTTCAATTTTTAGAAAACACTTTTCGAATTTTTGAAATTGAATTTCTTTGGATTTTTCTTAATTTCTCCGAAACTTTCGTTTTTTCAATAATCATTTTTCTTTGAAATCGCGAATTTCTGAGTTTTCATATTTTCCAGAATTTTCTAGAAATTCTCAAACTATTTTAAAAGCTTTTGAAATTATTCAAATTCCTAAATTTTTTAAGTTTTCAGTTTTCTATTGTATTTTAGGAAATTTCCGGGATTTCCGAATTTCAAATTCTTAAAATTTTTCTAGAATCTCCAAGATTCTTAATTTCCGAATTTTCTAGGATCTTTCATAATTACCCAGGAGTTTAAGGGTTTTTTAATTTTCTGGCTTTTTTTCAAATTTTAGAAAGTTCCTGAATTGTTAAAAAATTGAAAAATTTTAAGATTCTGAATTTCCCAGATTTTTCCATAACTTCCTTTCAAAACTGAACTTCGAAAACACTCTAATTTCCAGATCGACAAAATGGCTGACGAACGTCGAATGCTTAGTCGTTTCGGCGTTTGGCTAATGGCTGGTCTCTGCCCACCAAACGAATCAGCCGATCCCCGTGCAATCGGCTACATAATGCAGAACGTCTTCGAATGGTTCGCAACAACAGCTCTTCTTCCATCCGACTCAATGGGTGCATCTCTAGAACAACTGAAAACCGACTTTGTCTCCGATTGGATCAACATTGGAATGCGTGTCCATAACCAAGTGTTCATCTCAAGTCTCTGTGGTGAATGCGAGGAGCATGACGGACGGCCTGTGATAGATCGAATCAAAGAAGGTCTGGGACGTCTTCTGGCCCTCATGCCTTATGACGTCGTTAGTGTGGAGACGTGGTCCCGAGTGATGCCTCGTTGGTTGGAAGCGATTGTCAATGATTGTACAGAAGACAACCAGCCAGAGTTGAAGGTTCTGCTTTGCAAGATTTTCGAGCCAGATTTATGTCCTTTACCTTTTGAAACAGCCGAGGTTTATGGATTTATGACTGATAGAATCGGAGGAGATGATTATGAGGAAATGTTCAACGCGCTGCAATGGTTACATGTGAGTTTTAGGATCCTGCCAGGATCCTCTTGAAAAAAAGAGCTTAAAAAATGATGAGACATATTTCAGCAACTCTCCCGTCTGGACATCACTATCCCCCTACCCATGATCCTTGACAACTTCAATCGGTGTCTACAGAAACTTCGCTCTATTGAAATCCCGCCCCTTTCTGAAAACGACCTGGAGGAGGAGGAGATGTCTGTACACGTGGTTCTCGTGGACACACTGGTGCTTCAGATGAAACTGAACGATGCGGAGAGGACAATGACTCCGGTATTGATCGACAAACTTTTTGAGTGTATGCAATTGTTGGTGTCCATACCGATAAGGGCGGTACCGCACTCTTGTCACGATCCAGAGCTGGATGGATTTGCAGATTGTCAGCGTGAGTTTTTGAAGACGTCTGGACGAGCATATATCAATACAGAAAAAGGTTTCAGAGTGTCAACAAACGGCGTTTGTGCAGCAAATGGTCATGAATATCACACAAAAAGTTTGTCCGAAGCGAGAAGTTGCGATTATTGTAAGTTTTTGTTTTGAAGCTATTTTTCTCGCTTCCTGTGAAATGTATCAAAATATGACCAACTGAGATAATGTTAAACTTAATATCACAAACATTTTATCAGTTGACCGATTTTTGATATTTTTCACAGGGACCGAGATAAGTACGGTTCATGAGTTATGATCGTTAGATGTTCGATGGTTCTTGAACTATTGTCGTGAGGTGTTCAACTTTCTTGTCAGGGAGAATCAGATCGCTGGATCTCAAGAATTATAAAAATCACGATCTACAAAAAAAGATCACAAGGAAAAAGTAGATTACAAACCACCTTCCCAAACACTTTGTCTTTCAGACCACCGTCGACGAGGACGCTATCTATGACGATCAAACATCAGACACCCCCACGGCGCCCGGAAGTTCTATGCTTTCTCCTCTAACCGAAACTGGAAGCAAAGGAACATCTCCAGGAACCTCAGCCCCTTCAAAACCATTCCCCGACAATCTCCAAACCCAAACAATGTGCGTCGCCCAAGCCTGTGAACAAGAGGAAGAAGTCGAGGAGTGCGAATTCGTGGGAATCCTTCCATGCGAGGAAATGGAGGTGGCTATGGCCGAGGCAGTAACCCATGATAACGTTTTGGAAACTGGCCAAGTGGTGACAAGTACTACAGTACACCCTAGCATCAAGGGGCAAATTGTGCAGACTCCGCAGACTCCTGTTCAGAAACAACCACCTAGTGATTTCTGGATTACTAGTGTAGGGCGATTCCGATTTAGTTTTGAGCAACTCCCACCGCAACTCAAAATGATTCACTCTCTATTAGCCTGCCTAGATGTAGCTGTGGAGCCTGACGTCGAGTTTTTTGTAATGTCATCCATCAAATATCTCTGCCTCCATTGTGAAGCGCTAAGCAACGCTAGACGTGAGCATCGTGGATTTCTGATATGGACGCAGGAGAATCAAATGGTTCCGAAGCTTTGGGAGCGGCTACGGTCAGACTACATACAAGTTGGCGAGCTGGCTACGCATCTCTTGCTTCATGCAATGACACTACCGCAAGGAGAGGAAATGTTCTGGAAAATGGTCCATCGAGATTTTACGTCTCCACAGTGGAATGTGAGATTTGATGCTGTCGGGAAGGCATATGTGCTGGCACAAATGATCAAAACGGCGCCTGTAAAGGCGAATAAAGTGGTGCAGACGTGTTTGGCGTCGGTTTTCTATCATTTTATCGCTTCGCTACACGATCCGAATCCATCAGTGGCTCAAAGAGCAATCATTGCGTTGAGGGCGATGCCAAGTCATACATTGAAAGTAAGTTTTGAGCTCAAATATCTTAATTCCTATAGCAGAAATCAAAAATTTGTCAACTGATAGAATGTTCATTATGATACTGGAAATATTTTGTTAGTTGACTACTTTTTGATATCTCATACGGTAACTGAAATACATTGGGTCACCGTCAAGGGACCCTACTATCGCGAGCTCTTTAAGCTTTGAGTCAATTTATCTCGGTTACCGTAAGTGATATCAAAAAGTAACAAACTAATAAAATGTTACTGATATTATAATGTATATTTTGTTATTTGACCACTTATTGATATATCTCACAGTTACCAAGATAAATTGGGTCAAAGGGAAGGGTTCCTTCTGTTACAGTGTTTATGTCAAACGCCAAAAATTCTACAAATCCTGAACTGCAATATCTAAAATTTCCAGCTTATCTGTATGTGCTTCGAATCCCAATTCGATCATTGCATTGTGGACCGCCCACTGATCATCCATGCAATCACTATGATGTCAATCCTCCTACCTGACCAGACAACACTGACTTTTGACTTTTTCATTCAACGATTTGAGACCCTCGTGTTGGAAAGTCAGTTGTCCAGTCAGACCGAGGAGAACATTTTTGTGCAAGGTAAAACATGTTTCTTATTTGAGGATTCAACTTTTTGTTCAGATCTTATGCACACCGACCCAATGTCCGAACTATACCAACGGAAAGTTTCAAAAGCTAGAACTGCAATTGAAAACGCCGCCACCGCTAGATCCATAGTCCGTCATTTAAAACAGTACGATGGGATGAAACATCAGTTGGCACATCTACCATCGGATCCAGGTACGCTAGTAGCTTACTAAAAATGGAATTATATGGATTTAAATGTTTTCGCTCTCTCTAATACTCTCTCTCTCTCTCTCTCTCTCTCTCTCTTCTCACCGTGCCTTCTCTCTCTGCAAAAATGTTCCCTTTAACCACTTCTCTAAACATTCCGTCCGTGTACAAATTCTAACCCTTAAATGTCTAACCCCCTTAGGCACCAAGCCAACCCCTTCTATTCACCACCCATACAGATATCCACCTATCGTCACGTGTGGCACGATGGAGACGTCGTGGACGTCTATCAGAAGCCGCGCTATCGGCACGTGTCAAAATTCTGAAAGTGGTCACCATGGTCCGTGTGGTCAATCGATGGAGAGAGATGGCGGCTGACGTGGCACTTGGCGCCGCTTCGTTGGTTTCTATGATGACGTCGGGAGGCGTCGCAACGGCTGGAGGATTGATGTGTATGTGTGCACCCCGTCCCCCCGATTTACTCACTTTACCTTTTGCATGGGTTTTTTTCAGAGAGCATGATTTTTAGCGGAGTTTGCGATTTTATAGAATCCTACTTTTTATGAAAAAAAACTGTAAAACCTCTATTAGAAGGTGCCTGCAAGTTTGACCTGTTTAGCTTTCAGGTTGGCTACTTTGGCCCAATTTATCTCAATTCCTATGAAAGGTATCAAAAAGTGGTCAACTGTGAAAATTTTTATCATAAAATCAATAATATATTATTAGTTGACCACTTTTTGATATCTTTTACAGGAAGTGAGACATATGGGTTCGAAGAAAATACCAGAATATCGAAAAAAAAGGGCTAGAAATTGGAAGATTTTAAAAAATTCCGAATTTCTGAATTTCGGAAATTCAGAATTTGAAAAAAATAGAAACTCAGAAATGTAATATTTTCGATAAATAAAAAGTCAAGATTAGAAAAAATCGAAAATTCGAAAGTTTCATAATTTTGAAAAACCGCAGAAAACTCAGAAAATTAATATTTTTGGAGATTCTAGCAATTCAAAAATTCAAAACTTCAGAAGTTGTGAAAAAAATCAGCAATTTTAAAAATTGGAAATTCTTGGAAAATCTGAAAAATCGAAGAATTCGGGAGTTCACGAATTCTGAATAACTTTGAAAATTTCTAGAAAAATGTGGAAAATTCACCTATTTGCAACAAAAAAATCGAATCCAAATCTCTAGCTTTTTGTGTGTTTTTCAGCAGCACGTGCACATTAATTTTCTCTGCTCTTTCCATTATTTTCACTCACATTCTCATTTTTTTCTCTAATATTTTATGTTTCGATTCTAACTTTTCTCAGTTTTGCATCTAACACTTTTCATCCTAATTTTTTTTTCTGTGAATCTATCTTCATTTTTTTCCTGTCCAGAATGTTTGTCTGTCGGTTTGTCTAACGTCTTCTTCTTCTTCTTCTTCTTTTTTTCAACTTTTTGCCTTTTTTCTACTTCTATTCTATCCCCCACACACACGAATACAATCACCACCTCTATTTTCTTTAACACACTTTCCACAGGTTTCCATAAATTTTCAGCGGCAAATATGAATAATCCGATGAACGACGACGTCTCCTCACCCAATTCATCGGTCACCGCCAACTATGGGCATGGTACGTGCATGTGTGGATATGTTTTATATGATGGGTACCATATGGGGTGGTTTGGTACCATATCGGTGCATGGGTATTGAAGATGCACTGTTGACATATGCCGACTATGGTACCATATTGAAATCATGAAAACCATATGGGAATAATGGATTTCATATGAAAATCATGGGTTACCATTTAAGGCATCCGTGATACCATATGGGAATCATGGACGCTATATGTAAATCATGGATACCATATGGGAATCATGGCAACCATATGGGATCTTTGTTACCACATTGGCATCAAGGATACCATATGTGCACCTTGATTACCATATTGGAACCTTGTTACCATAATTGTTATATGTAATACCATTATGGTACCTTTTCTCCACCATGGCTACCATACCCCTGTACCATACCTCTCCCATATGGTACCCCATCGGCTTCTACACCGCTTCTTCTCCATCACGCTTCTATTGGTGATCCCAAATATTCCCTGTTTTCTTTCGCTTTTTGAAATCTATATCCCCCACCGTATACCCCTACACATACAGTAATCTTCTATGCATGAAAGTTATTATTTGGGGTTTTTTGAAATTTTTTGGAAAAATGGGACCTTTAGTTTCTTTGGTTTAGTTTTTTGTTTCAGTTTCTTTTTTTGGTTTTTGGGATTTTTTTGGATATGGAATTTGGTTTGAAAAATTTTAATTTCCCGCCCAACCCCAATAATTTTAATATTCCAGGAGGTTACGGTAGACTTCGAGAGTTCACCGACGAGGAGAGCAATATGTGCTTATTGTTCAATCGAGTGGTGGATATGGAGAACCCGGAAAGACATACCGTATACCTGGTCGTCTCACTTTTTGTCACTTTTCTCTCCAATAAGAATTCGACGCCTACTGATGAGAAGGCAAATGCCAAAAAGCAATCTCTCGTTTTTCGACACTTTAATACCCTGTTAGGGTACAGTAGTACCGAAAAGTGTTTCACGATTCCGCCAGCCAGATTACGGTAGGATTACTGTAGCTTTAATTTTTTAAAATAAATTGGCTGGTCCTTCAGAAAAGCCGCCGTCTGCAACGCCTTCATCAGTGGGTTGCCTGAAATTCTGGATATGAATTTGCACACAGGTATTTACATACAGAAAAAAAAAGATTTCAAATTTTATATTTTTAATTCCAGGAAACCAACTACTTCCTACTGTAGTCCAGCTGCTTATCCATCTTCCAAGCCCTCAAAAACTGGCATCCGATCAGAATGTGACGAATTACTCTCTGGCGCTTTTGACCCAACACACAAGGCATTTATGGTTGCATTCGCTGATTTTGATTCTGTATAAATATCGATTTGATCAACTCCCAGTCAGTGAGAATATCGTTAGGCTCATTGGAATTGTGGTCAAAACGTTGCAAAGTGAGTCGGAAGGGGCTTTCATTTGGAGCCAATTTATCTAGCTTCCTGTGAGATATATCAAAAAGCGATCAACTGATAAAATGTTTAGCATACTATCAGTAATATTTTACTACTTGAAAAAAATTCGATATCTTAAACGGGAAACGATATAATTAGGATCAAAATAACTTCTTTTTTTTTCAAAAAGAAATTGAAGTATTGTTTAAAAGCGTGGGCAAAAAAAGAGAAAAAACTACTTGTTTGAATTAATAGTAAACCCAAAAAATACGTGAATTGGTTTAGAAGCCTAGGAAAAATGCTGTAAAAGAAGGGCATGGCCTGAAAATAGAAATCGAGGTCACGACCTAAAAAATGAAATCTAGGTCATGACCCAGAAATTGGAATCTAGTTCATGAACTAAAAATTGAAATCTAGGTCATGACCCAGAAATTGAAATCGAGGTCACGACCTAAAAATTGAAATCTAGGTCATGACCCAGAAATTGAAATCTAGTTCATGAACTAAAAATTGAAATCTAGGTCATGACCCAGAAATTGGAATCTAGGTCATGAACTAAAAATTGAAATCTAGGTCATGACCCAGAAATTGAAATCTAGATCATGACCTAAAAATTGAAATCTAGGTCATGACCCAGAAATTGAAATCTAGATCATGACCTAAAAATTGAAATCTAAGCCATGGACCGAGGGCCCATGACCCCCTGGCTCCAGCCGGAGCTCCCTCCCCTTTCTGGAACCCTGAGAAAGGGAGAACTGATTCTTCCCTTCGCTTCCCTCTTCCTTTATAGTTTAGATTCCTGAGTTTCTAAACCAGTTTTTCTTCCTTCTTTTCTTTTAAATAATACTCAAAATTTCTTTTTGAAAAAGAGAGAAGTCCCTTTGATTCTGATTATATCGTTTCCTTCTTGAGATATCAAATTTTTTTAACTGTTAAAATATTACTGATATTATGCCAAACATTTTATCAGTTGATCCCTTTTTGCTATCTTTTACAGGAACCGAGAAAAAATGGCTCAAAGTTGAACCACGACTTTGAGATCATTGCTTTTGAGAAGCACTTAGGTGACATTCTCTTCAGGTTCGGTTCAAGCGGCTTATCTTATTTGGATGAAATTCCACAAACAAGTTGTCAACTACAAAATTAAAGTTCTATTTTTGTTTAGTACGCTCTAAAAAACTCAGAGAAATTGAAATGGAAATTTGAATATTCGAAAAATTCAAATTGTGAAATGTAGTACTTGAAATGGGCTACAAAATGGTATATTTGAGAAATGGGTCAAGTTAAAAAGCAACATTTTTAAATCAAGAACTACAAATCTTAATTCAAATAAACTTGAGCTTGGATTTTGAAAAAATTCTGAGTATTTTTTAAATATGACTGTTTATTTATCCCCAACAAATCGGCTATCTGTGGTTCAGCCTCCATTTCCTCAGTTTTCGAGATTTTGAAACTAGACATCATGTATATCATTTTGAAGTTTTTTTTAAAGTTATACATGTTCCAATTTGAATTTTCCAAAAATTTCAATTTTCAAAAAAGTTATGCGTCTTTAAAAAATCCAACCTGAAACGAGCGCTGAAGAGGGACGATTCTCAATGTGTTTAAAATTTGTGCTAAAGAAAATCAGTTTTTGAAAATAACTTCATTTTTCCAGATCAAGTTCACGAGTGTTCCGACGCCGAAGCATCCAACGAAATCGACACCTGGGATGAGATCGAAGAGGACGATGGTGGAAGAGCAGAGCTGATTCGACCGGAATCTCTTACAGTAACCACTATCAAAGAAGCAACACCAGCAGCGGAGGGAATTATTCAAGTTGGTGCAGTTCGGGTTATGCAGCCGACGATTGTGGAGCCAGAGGGGCTGGCACCGGAGCCAGTGTTATCTAGGAAGAGGAGTACGATGGTACAGGAAGTCAAGCGGAAGAAAAGTGCAATTGAGGTGGTGAAGAAGAGGTAAGGACTAGACTTTAAGATTTTAGAGCGCACTTTTCATTGGCGCAGCTTTTTTTGCTTCCTGTAAGAGATATCAAAATTTTGTCAACTGATAAAATGTTTATCAAAACATGAACAACATTTTATTAGTTAACAGATTTTATCTTTCATAGGAGCAGAGAAAATTGAGCTCAATTGCGCGTGTCGGTATGTGTACCCCAAGATCCCATGTACATCCTTTGCACCTTTTTTACTCTTGAATTTTCAGCTGCGCCCTCCGATGTGGTCACTGCAACGAAGCCATCGAGATGTTCGACGAGGAAACTGTCTCATTGTGTTTGATAGCACTGGAAACATTTCTACACCGCGAACCCTCTATGGCAGCGCCGATCCTTTTCAAGATCCTTTATACTGTAACACGGCTCATCGACACCCCAATGTACCCATGGCACTCAACCGAGATGTTCGTTCCAGCCAATTCTCGCTCTGTTGCTAAACAAATGCTCCGTGTTTCCCTCCATCATCTCTCCACCCTGCGATTTGTCTCCAGCTATTCGACACCAAAATCCCACGACCCGAAGCCTTCTGGTCCGTCATAGCTTTATCTCTTGCCGATTTTCCAGAGCTGTCCCCAGTGTACTTTATGCAAATCCTCATGGAAGATCTTGATGAAAGTTGGCCGGGATCTGTGAGATTGATCATGAAGAATCTGGCGTATTACATCGTTGAGATCTCCTTGGATATGTATGGCAATGCGTGGCAGAATTTGGCAACGCATATGGAGACGTTCTTCAAGAAGTATCATACAGCGATCTCCGCCGATACCACCACCGCTCCAACACGTGCTGAAATTGAAAACGTCATTATCGTAATGACTCATGTCCTAAAAGTTCAAGTTCTAACGACCAACGCCAAGTCTCCAGTCTCTCTTGTAGAAGCATTCTCCAAATGGCTCTCAGAATCCCTACACGGTGCAGAGGTGTCCCTAGAATCACTTCTAGGAGTTTGCACCGCCTGTAATAGAGCGTTGATAAGAGTAAGATATTTTTCCTAGGTCACGAGCTCACAATTTCGCATTTTTAGGAACGCGACAAGCAATGTGTGACCCGCGCCGTTGTCACTGAGCTCATGCAATCCATCAAGTTTAAGTCCAAGCTCCATGAAGCCAACTACGTCACAATTGCCAATATGGTACTACAGGACACTGGAGAGGATATCGAAGTTCCGTTGTTGGACGATCAGTTTAATACAGCCGCGTCTGAAGCTATCCGACCATTTTTGTTCGAAGTTTTGGACTTTATTGCGGACCTTCATGTGATAGCAAAATTGAAAAAAGAGACCAATTCAGATGCGCTTGGTGGAGATTTGAAGGTCAAGCTAGCAGAGGCTATTGGTAAGATTGAAAGGAAAGGGAATCTTTGAGCTCGCATGTCTCGGTTCCTGTGAGAGATATCAAAAATTTGTCAACGGATAAAATGTTTGTCATAATATTTTCAACATTTTGTTAGTTGACTTTTCAATATCTCTCATAAGGAGCTAGATAATCAAGCTCAAAGTGCAAGTAGTTCAGCTCAAACTTGACAGTAGTTAAGCCTCAGGTTTCACAGTATTAACAATATTTACCAAACATTCTTTTTAAGCTGTCGAAATGTCTCGCTCCAATGCTCGTGACTGCCGTACCGTCATCCGTTTCATCCCATGGCTCATGTCCCCTCCTTCTGTCACTCAAGCCGCTCCAGGAGCCTTTGCGGATAGTGTCACTAACGTCCGTGTGCTCTCCTGGCTCCTTCTAGGAGCTCTTCACGCCAACCACTCTTGTCTGCCGGTACCAATCGAGTGTAGTCAGCATATGGCAGATTACATTCATTTTGTATTGGCTGGATTTGCGGATCAGTCAAAGCAATCTGTGGTACACATGTCTGCTCTCTTCCATGCCTTCCATCTTTGCCAGCTATGGACCGTCTATTGTGAAAGAGCTGCTACGTACAGCTCGACGACAGCATTCGCACATTTGATCGATTTCTGGGCACGAGTGACCCCAGCGATTTTGCAGTTGTTGAGTCATTCGAAAGTGGTGAGTTTTTGTTATTCGGAATGTCATTTTTGACCCCAATTACCAATACGTGCACTTTGAGCTTAATTTTTTCGGTTCCTATGAGAGATATCAAAAGTGGTTATTCTGTAAAATGTTACTGATATTATGATAAACATTTTGTTAGTTGAGCACTTTTCGATATCTCTTATAGGAACCGAGATAATTAAGTTCAAACTAAAATACCCTCACGCGCCCAAGAGGGAGAGACTCAGAGAAGTCGGTGTGTCTCGTTTCTCTGCGTCTCTTTAAGTTCAAAATCAAAACTACTGTATCTGCGAGATTAATAGAGCCAAAAAATAGTTTTTAGACTATTCGATAGCAAATTTTGAGGTCTTTCGTTTGATATCAAAATTTGAGCATATTTCAGTTTTTGAGTAGAGAAGGATCTCATTTTCAGCTCGCCGACATGGTCAATCTCCATTTTCTCAACACAATTCAAGCACTTCAACAAGTGAATTCGGCACTTCTGTGTCAATTATACTCAATGTGGGCGCCGATTCTCACCGCCTATCATTCTCAGATTCCGAATCAACTCAGGTAAGAGCCTGTAATTCTAATATGCACTTTGAGCTCACTTATCTCGGTTGCTATGAGAGATATTAAAAAGTGATCAATTGATAAAGTTTTACTGATATTATGATAAACATTTTATCAATTGACCACATTTTGATTTCTCTCAAAGGAACCGAGATAATTGAGTCAGAGCATCGACAATATTATCCCAATTTTTACGCTAGCCACCACACTCTCAACCTTGACTCAAATTATCTTGGTTACTGTAAGAGACATCAAAAAATGATCAACTAATAATTGTTTCTGATTTTATGATAAGCATTTTGTTAGTTGGTTTTTTCTTGATATTTTTAATAGGAACCGAGATAATTGAGCTCAAAGTGCAAGGGCTATTAGAGGAAATACGGTAATAAAGCTTTTTTGTTCCAGAATGAAACTCGATTCTTGCCAAAACCAACCATCTCTGGAAGCTCCGCTTGTCACCGAATGGCTCAAAAAAGTTCGCTACAAGATTTCCCAAGTGGAACTTCAAACATCAGCTGCATCGCCTTACTACACTGTCTAAATCTTTTCAAAAAATATTGATTTTACGGGTTTCATGTCCATTTTTTTCGAATTTCAACACTATCATCACTCATTACGATTTTTCGGTGCTTTCAAAAACTTCCCCCACTTTCACAAGAACCTTTTCTCAATAAATCTCGTTTTTTGCTCAATTTTGGTTTATTTGAAATTTCAAGCAGGGAGATCAAAAATAACAATCAAAATAAAAATGAGAATTTCATCCAAATAAGAATCAAAGGGACTTCTCTCTTTTTCATTCGGAAATGAAGCATTCTCAATCAGCATTTTTGATGTGATTTGCATTTGTCACCTATTTCGGCTTTTGTGAGTTGGGGCACCCAAATTTTTTGAATTTGGCGCCAAAATGCGGGTGTCCCAGAGGAAGGGAAACAAGGCGTTTTTGCCTAAGCCTATAATTTCAAACAAAAACCAGACATTAAAAAAAATTTCAGCCAAAATGTGCGATTTTCACTGATTTTCGCCAATTTCAGTATTTTTCTGGCTGAAATTTTTTTTCAATTTTTTTTCGTTTTTTTTAAAATTATAGGCTTAGGCAAAAAACCCTTGTTTTGTTTCCACTGGGACATCCGAAAATGGCGCCAAATTCAAAAAATTTGGGTGCCCTCCCAACTACGCTAGCACGTGCGTTTTAGCCTAAGCCTAAAATAAAGAAGCAAATAACAGGAATCTGTATTTTATCATATTATTTTATACTTTCTGGAGGTCCAGACACCTCAAAAATATTTCTAACATGCTTAAAATTAATGCGCAAGTCAGAAAATGCCAAAAAAGTAAGAAAAAAGTGCCCCCCCCCCCAACCAACATAGCGCCGGGATCCTTTCCAAAATTGAAGAAACTGGCGGTTTTTGGGGAAACCATTGCAGATTTGAATGTCTTGTTGAAAGGATTATAAGCAGAAGGAGCAGGTAGAGAAATGGAATACACTGTCAAGAATTGTTATGGGATTTTCGCTAAAATTGAATTTCGTAATGGTACAATAACATTTGTTTCCGTTATTTTTACCGTTTCAAATTAATTACTACTAAACATTTTATTTTACCTGAATAAAGTCTTAATGGTTATTACTCTAATGCTTTCACCGGAGAATCAAAACAATTTTTTCGTTTTTTTTAATTCAAGTCAGCAACTCCAAAACGATTTTTCTCCGAATAAAAAAAGCTAAGAATCAATAACTCGGCTCAACTGATTCCTGAATTTTAAAGGAGAAACACATTGTATAGTCAAAAAGGGATTGCTAAAATTATTTAACTCGATTTGCTTTTTTTCGAGCTCGGAACTCGCTGAAAAAATCTAATTTTACGATTAGAACAGGTTTTCAGTTGCATAATGTGACAAAATCGGGCTTGAAATCTGATTTTTTTCGCTAAAATTCAGTGAAGAAGATGACGAATTGGGAGGAAAACAATGAGACGAGCAGGCGATAAATATTTGAAACTTTCGCATCGAAAAGCTTTTTCAGAGATTTTTCTTTCAGGTTTTCGTAAATTTCAAGCTAAAACTGCATATTTTCCTTGGAAAAAATAATGAACTTGCTTGAAATTTCAGTGGGTATTGCCCCCGAAAATACCGTAATTTAAAGGAGCTTTATTTGATTTTTTATAGAAAGAAAGGGTCTCGCAACGAAAATACAGTAATTTAAAGGAACTTATTCGGGTTTCCCTACATTTCCATTCAAAAAAAATGAACTTCAAACGACGAGTTCAATCGGAAGAAGTGCCAATTAATCTACCAAATTTCACACACACTCCAAGTACAATGACCTCCGTCTCCTTCCCACTTTTTATCAGCACTGATCATTCAGACGTACGCGGCTGGCGCCGTTTCTCTCCGTCTCTGCTTCTCGCTCTCCGCGCGCGCGCGCGCCAAATTTTGAATTCGAAAACGATTTTGGCGCGAGAGAGACCGCTTCTCCCCTTCATTCGGTTCTCATTTCACTTTTTGTTGTCTGCTGGGGTTGTTCTTCTTGTCTAGTGATTCGTATAATTCTAAAAATCTGAGTTTTTCCTTCAATTTTTGGGAATTTTAGCTAAAATTGGAAAGCTTTCAAAGCGTATTTCACCTCCTAGCGCTTCGTATATCATCTCGAATCCTAAAAATCTGGTTTTTTCTTCCACATTTATCTAGAATTTAAGGTTTTTTAGCTAAAATTCGAAAGCTTTCGAAGCTTATTTCTCCTCGAATCCTAAAAATCAGGGTTTTTTCTTTCAGTTTTTGGGATTTTTAGCAAAAATTCGAAAGCTTTCGAAGCGTGTTTCTTCTCGATTTCTGAAAAATTGACTATTTTCTAATCGCTACATACAGAGCTAGCTTTCAAAGTGTCGCTTTCTCGCAAAAATGCAAACTTCAAATTTCTGTTTTCGCGCCCTCTTCCCACTGGTCAGCTGTCTTATCGGCCGATGTCTTAACCTGCTCTTAACTCATCCAGCACGCCGTATTTCTCCTCAAATCTTAAAAATCCGGTTTTTTTTCAGTTTTTGGGATTATTATCTATAATTCGGAAGCCTATCTCTCCTCGAATTCTGATAATTTACCTTGAAAGCGTCTTTTTCTCAAAATATTTAAATTGGTGTTTTCGCGCCTTTTCACCGGTCAGCTGTCTTATCGGCTGGTCATTTTCTGATCGGCACACACCTCTCCATTCAAATCATGACCCATATTTGCATCATCTGCTCTAATTTCTCATTTGCTGACGTCACGAATGTCTTCTGAAGGCATATACAATCCGAACAGTACCTGTGACGTCACAAATGACACCCTCCGATCGGAATGACACCCTCCTAGGGGTCACCATTCGTGACGTAGGCACGGTGGTGGTGCTGGCGGTACGTCCCGCCTATTTGGCGAGGAGCGAGGACGGTATAAAAGAACGCGGCGGTCACTCGGTTCTTCATTCATTCCTTTCCGTGCCTTGACCCTGAATCAGCTGACCACTAATGCTCTACTTCTCTTTTTCTCCTCTTTTTTGGAAATTTTTATTCAAAAACAGCATATTTTCAGACTCGCCGGCACTAACCACCACTACTAAACCAGGATGACACTGGCCGAGATTCAAAATGTCGAGAAGGAGAATGCGGAGGTGAGCACCAGGAGCTCTGAGGGTGTCTGCACCAGGAAATGTGCCAGATTCCACGACAATTCGGCTCTTTTCCCCTTTTCTCCTTCGCTTTTCCCTCATTTCAATTTGTATGACATTACAGCCAGCACAGCACCAGCACCAATCGAAGAAGAAGATTCAAGACCTCACCAAGCTGTCGATCGAGCCAAAAGGCAACGCGCTGGACGCCGACGAGCCACTGCTCCAGGACCTGGACAATCGTTTCGTGATCTTCCCGCTGCGACACCATGAGATTTGGCAGTTCTACAAGAAGGCCGTCGCCTCGTTTTGGACTGTCGAGGAGGTGGATTTGGGCAAAGATATGAACGATTGGGAGAAGATGAATGGCGATGAGCAGTACTTCATCTCCCGCGTGCTCGCCTTCTTCGCCGCCTCCGATGGTATTGTTAATGAGAACTTGGTAAGCTGAAATGCCCTTTAAGCCCTAAATGAAGCTTCTTTTCTAGTGCGAACGCTTCTCGAACGAAGTCAAAGTCTCCGAGGCGCGCTTCTTCTACGGATTCCAAATCGCCATCGAGAATATTCACTCGGAGATGTACTCAAAGCTCATCGAGACCTACATCCGCGATGAGAAGGAGCGCATGAAGCTGTTCAACGCCATCTTCGAGTTCGAGTTCATCAAGAAGAAGGCCGACTGGGCGCTTCGTTGGATTTCCGACACCAAGGCCTCGTTCGCCGAACGGCTGATCGCATTCGCCGCCGTCGAGGGCATCTTCTTTAGCGGATCGTTCGCATCGATTTTCTGGCTCAAGAAGCGCGGTCTGATGCCAGGTTTGACACATTCCAACGAGCTGATCTCGAGGTGAGCTGGGTTCTAGTAATTTTGAACGCGTCGCGTGTCGGCGTAGCGGCTAGCGCTTCGAACACGTTTTGAAAGTTTAGGCGCGCAGCCAAATTTGCGACAACACGGAGGTGCAACAGCTTACATGCATTCAAATTTATCTCAATTCTCTTGGGCGCGCTGCGGCTCGCGACGCGGCTGCAATTTGGCTTGAAAATTGGAATTTTTATTTCGAAAAAATGCTGGCTTGGCGGGGTGCCAACTCCTTGCACGAAAAGCGCCGGGCGCAGCTCCGTGTACGCTGAATTCTAGTAGTTTTGGACTCGTCGCGTGTCGGCGTAGCGGCTGACTGACGACTTAACAACGCTTAAGATGCTTCGAACTTTCTGGAAATGGCGCTATGTTGGTTGGGGGGAGGGGGAACTCTTTTTTGACTTTTTTGGCATTTTCTGACTTGCGCATTAATTCTAATAGTAAGCATGTTAGAAATATTTTTGAGGCGTCTGGACCTCTAGAAAGTATAAAATAATATAAAAAATTACAAATTCCTGTTATTTGCTTCTTCATTTTAGGCTTAGGCTAAAACGTTGGCGCTACCGTAGTTGAGGGCACCCAAATTTTTTGAATTTGGCGCCATTTTCGGATGTCCCAGTGGAAAGAAAACAAGGGGTTTTTACCTAAGCCTATAATTTTAAAAAAAACGGAAAAATCTGAAAAAAATTTCAGCCAGAAAAATACTGAAATTGGCGAAAATCAATGAAAATCGCACATTTCGGCTGAAATTTTTTTTTCAAAATGTTTGGTTTTTGTTTAAAATTATAGGCTTAGGAAAAAACGCCTTGTTTCCCTTCCTTTGGGACACCCGCATTTTGGCGCCAAATCAAAAAATTTGGG